TGACGGAGGCAGTATGACCTCCGAAACGTTGGTTAACATCGACCAGACTACACAGCGCAACAACCCAGAAGACGGAAATCTTCATACTCACCGCTGTGAGAACCTCAAGTCTTACATGTTTCCCTGATGATCGCTGTCATTGTCATCATCTCTAAAGACGAACATAGAGCGGACCGTACACAGAGGAAACCAGTTCCGTGAAATCGGTTTTAGAATCTTGAGTGTTTTGGCGTCATCGAAAAATATTCTTGTTGTAAATTGGAGACACGTAGAGCCATACGAAATGACTGTTGTGCGACTTTGGTTCTCTTTACAGTAATGGAGTTTTTAGATGGAATTCTAATTTTCGACTTTATTAGATCGATTTTTTGGAGCGGTTTTTCTGTGTGCATAGCCCAACTGAGAGTAATCATTTAAAAATAAAAATACGCCCGCTGTAATTGAATGGACTACGATTCATGAACAACATTCACTCCTTCAGGACTGATTACCAATGATTCGGAGGGATCTATATATTCCGTTCTGAAGATGGAGGTGGAAAGTTGCTCCGGTGACGCAGTCCAGAAGACCACCACTTAACTTGTAAAACTGTGCAAGTAACTCAAATGATCAATAAATCCCTCGCATTTTACTAGACATGAAGGTTGATTACCTTGTTTACAGCATCCTGCCACTGGACTTCGCGGCGGAATGTGGGATCAGAGATTATATCGGTAGACAGTTGAACATCTTCCAGGCAATCTGACTCTTCGCTGGCCTCGGCTTGAGTGTCCAAGTCGTGTACTAGTAACGCAAAGTTTTCATTCTTTTGTTTCCACCCCTAACTCAACTCCGTCTTATCGCCAACTCAAGATTTAAACCGACATTACTCAAGAGCTGACTTCCATTTCTTTCTCCATCCCCTGTTCTATGTTCTTGTACCACCCTTCGTCTGAATTTTCCGTACCCTCGCTGTCACGCTCGACCTACGTTCGATCCCTTTACGTTTACGTTGTTAGAAATTAAGCTACGCCATGTTGCTGCAGGAATTGTTTTTTAAATAATGTATTGCATCGATAGGTCTGCTCACATACTCGTTTAAAATAAAAATGCGTCCATATTTATTCCATTGCTGTATTTCTTACTCTGAATTCCTCTCACTGTTTTGTTTCAATTAGTTCATTAATTAATTTATTCATACGGCTGAGTTTATTTTAAATTTCATACACCGACAATAATATCTGTCATTTTTGGGGACAAAAAATCAGTTTCTGATAAACGTGTATGTTAACTGAAATTATCATAATACAGTGTTTTATTTCCATATTCATCTACTTCTTAATTTGTACAAGTCTTCTCGCTTTTTTACAAATATTTGGCAAGAAAAAGCTGTCTGCGTGTAAGTTTAAGCTCTGAAAAATGCTCACAAACGTTCGACGAAATTTGTATTACTTCCGCCATATATTTACATAATAATATGGGCAATAGTACACTCAACAGAAAACTGTAAGATGTAAGGTAAAGCTGGTGTGTGACTTCTTTAAAAGCCAATAACTCGAGACCTATATAAGATAGAGAATATAAACCTATATGTAAATTAGAGAGTAAATAAAGGGCTTTCTCTACATGATATTTATTTTATTATATAATGCATATTTTACACATTTTTGAAATATTTATCCAAAACATGTAATAACTTTAACCTCGTTCCTTAACTTCAAGCACTTGCCACGTCTAAAGCGTAAGAGTTAGATTCGGACATATTAAGAGTTAAATACGTAAATAAACACGATATTTTCAAATTTGCAAACAGATTTCAGCTAACTCTTACGGTTTATGAGTTTTGGCCATTTTAACAAAGAACGTTTCTAGAGTGAGTGTGTTGAGTACATGACGCAACACATAGATGAGCTGTCGGTGGATGACGTCACGTATAGATAAGATGTAAAAGTTCATTAATGTGTGAATAAAATGTTATTTCAGTACAAATCAATTTCTACAGTTAAACGTTATTCAACGTTAACTAGGGAACCGTGGTTCCACTGTCATTTTTTATAGACTGTCCCACTCCGTTCCGAGCTTTGACAACATTGACAGGTTCTTCTCGTTGCCGGAGTACTTTAATTCCTTCTTCTCTCTCAGA